CCTGAGAGAGTCCTGAGAGAGTCCTGAGACAGAGTCCAGAGAGAGTCTCAAGACAGAGAGCTGAGACAGAGAGCAGAGAGAGAGTCCTGAGCCATGACAGACGGGGAAGGGTTCTGCGGAGAGGGATGGAGAGGGGGTGGGAGAGAGAGTCCTGACCTTCGTGGCCGGCCAGCTGCACCCAGGAGTTCTGCCTGCGCAGAGACCACTGCATCATGGTGAAGAAGGTCTTCAAGGAGCGACACTGGGGGGGACAGAGACAGCGGGGGCTCAGCTCACACGACCTCAGCATCATCTTGTCAGTGATGTAGCTCAGAGCTCAGCTGGGATGGAAGGCAGGGGGCGTTACAGCAGGGCTCCAGGGACACAGCCAGGTAAGAGCGCAGGACTGCACAGGACAGCACAGCAGAACAGGATCGCAGCCACGCAGGCAGCCCGAGTGTGTGACCGCCCAGAGAGACTGCAGGAGGAAGAGAGAGGAGCAGAGGGGGTGAAAGAGGAAGGAAGAGTGAAGGAGAGGGGGAAGAGAGAGTGAGAGGAGGGAGAGGGGGGAAAGGTAGGAAGAGGAGGAGAGAGTGAGAGGAGGGAGAGATAGAAGGAGAGGTGGAGAGGAGGAGAGAGTGAGAGGAGAGACAGAAGGAGAGGAGAGGGTGGAAGAGGAAGAAGAGGAGGAGAGAGTGAGAGGAGGGAGAAACAGAAGGAAGAGGAGGAGCATCTTCGGGGCACACGGGCCTGGTTAGCGCTGGCGCTGCCCGTCTGTAGCACAGACACCATGCAAATCAGAGCCAACACTTATTCAAATCGAACCCACATCCACTGGTGACAGCATCAAGGATTCCTTTCACACCAATGCAAATCCTGCCCTGTCCAGAGCCACGAGCACACACCACACACACACAGAATACACACACAACACACACCGACACCAGACACAGGAACACGTGTCTGTTGCCAATGTGAAGCGTGAGAGAACAGGAGAGAGATAAGGACGAGCTGATGCACACACACCCCTCCAGTGTGCACGGACCCGGCTGGTCCAGTGGGTCGGTCCAGTCTGGTCATACTTGGGGTGCCCAGCTGGGGCTCCACTCTGCCCTGAGAGCCCGGACCCCCTGGGCCCTGTGCCCCTGAAGGGACCCCGGTCCTGCTGTGCGAGACCCTGATGTCGACGCATCGCTCTGTGAGATAAGGGCCAGCAGCCCGAACAGCTCAGCCGGCCGACCGCAAGCTTCCTGTCTCACTGTTGCGCAAACCCTTCTCTCTCCTGCCTGAGTCCCCTGGCCGGGCCTCTCCGTGCTCTCACCGCAGGGATTCCCTCCCACAGGACCACCCCACTCCGAGAGTCCCGGTGATTCTCATGGGGGGAGAGAGGCACGAGCACACGGGAACACACACGAGCACACGGGAACACACACAAACACACAGGAACACGCACGAGCACACAGGAACACACACAAGCACACGGAAACACACACAAGCACACGGGAACAGACACAAGCACACGGGAACAGACACAAGCACACGGGAACAGACACAAGCACACGGGAACACGCACGAGCACACGGGAACACGCACGAGCACACGGGAACACGCACGAGCACACGGGAACACGCAC